AAACGGCCCCCCCCCCCCCCCCCCCCAGAGTATGCAAAATACATACATAAATATATCATTTATTATAATCCCCATAGAAATCATCCATATGTTGAAATAAGTACATTCTATTTTATTTGTCATCTGCGAGATTAATAATTAATTAACAAAATGTTTTTGTATTACATAATTTTACCGCATATGTAAAATTTACCACAACACTGTCTCTTAAAACAACATTGGTCTTTTGGACCAATAAATGTGTTGTTTGACATGCAGTTTTGCTCCTCAAGGTTAGATCAGTGCCGGCTATAAATAGTCGATGCGAACAAACATGTAATGACTATTTAGTACAGGTTTTAAAGAGTACTCACTCCTGTTGGCTCACATGATATCCTCCTCACACATACCACCAGGTCTGCAAGTAACAACATGTGTAAGGCACACAAATCCACCACAATAGCATCTCATACTGGCAGAATGCCCCAGCGAGACACTATTGCCACGTTTGTTTGCAGAGTATACATGCGATCTAAGGAGTAGCATTAAAGGTTGCCAAAAAAAGGTATACATACTATGAGACCTGACATGGTGGTGGCACGAATGATGGCAAGGAAACATTATATATATACACTCGGACATGTGAAACATGTCACCAAAGGTCCAGGATCAGGCAAGTTAATAATAGCATAGAATTATCTTAAAACGTATCTATATCTAACTGAAGGACATTAAAAGGAGCATCCTTTTCTCACCTTCTTTCCCCAGTAAAAAGGAGTAGAAGCAGAGATGATTGACAGTTAGGTAGAGCCAGCCTTGCCTGGGGACACGTCCCTTCCAGTAACTGCATGAGTAATAGTTCACCAGCTTCTCCACCTCCGGCATACCAAACTGCTTCCGCATTTTAAGCTCTGCTTCCTTAAACTTGCCTGGGTCTTCTTCATCCGTGGGAAGCAGGCTCTTATTCTCTTCAGCTATGATGCCCTATAAAACAAGAACTGAACCATTTACATATGCATATTACTAACACTACTACTACAACTACTACTAAAGGTGCATTGTTCTGAATGGCAATAAAAACGGTCAGATCTCATTATAAAGAACAATACAGTTCTGAAAAGCTTCTGCTAGCAGGGTGCCACCAAATACAATAGTGTTATAGTCCAACTCTAGGCACCAGAAGAGGTAAAGGAAGCACAGATCCATAGAATGAATATGACAGAGGCCGGGAAATCCTTGTACTGTAGATCCTCAGGTACAGCATCCTCTCCAACAAGGAGAACAGTTAGTATTTAGTGAGAATTTAGATTAGCTTATTTATGCAGTCAGAGGCAGCAACGCCTTAGAGCACATGTGTCAAACTCAAGGCCCAGGGGCCGAATCCGGCCCTCCAGGCCATTTACTAGAATTCTACTTTCAGATCTAGGTATTAAGTTATTACTAAAACCAGTGATAATGGAATGCAGAGGCAATGATGATAAAGATTAGATACATTTATATAGTCTTACTGATACAACAGGCACTTTGAGGGCAACCATAATGTTGATGCGGCCCACGATTAAATTGAGTTTGACACCCCTGCCTTAGATAATCTCATACTGCATATATACTACTTTGAGGCTACAGAACAGGCAGTGCAACACAGCCACAAACAGCACTGTTATTTCTTAGGAAGAATAATAGACAAAGGGTACATTTTTCAGAGTAATGCTTAGGCAAAATTTACATTTCTAGATGTTCCCTATAATATATACGAGTTCGGGTCCATTTTACCCATTTTATAATCAACCATCTGACACCTAGTCCTGTAACCAAATTCCCTATGGACAATCTTATTTGCAGAGTCATATATCACCAGACAATATATGTAAGAAAGCAGACCACAGGTATTCTCCAGGCACCATGACATATAAAGGCTAGAGATGGCTGCACATTGATCTTCATCTGTACATATAAATATGTCCATACCTGGCAACTAGGTGTATGCAGTCTTGTTGCCTAAAACCTGAGTTTTAAAAAGAAGAGTGTCCTCAATATTTTAGATAAACATGTAAAAGATATGCATTATATATAAGTGTATCTTTTATATTATCTTATCCTAGTGTTCATGATTTAAAAATCTTATTTCTTGATGGATTTGTAATAATATATGAATTTGAGGAAGACATATTTGCTTATTATATATGGCCGTACTTTGCAGCGCATTCCCCCAGCCCCCAAAGTCAAAGAGTCAGCTGACTCATTGAAAACAATGCACTCCTTTTGATGCTGATATTTTATCTCAACAGTTATTAAAGGAGAACTATGAGTTGAGTGCTTTTCACTCACCTCATAGTTCTAGCCGACCTGTGACAATGAGACTGTCACAGGTCGGCTCAGTAGATCGGGAGGTGAGCGAACACATACCGGCGTTCGCTCACCTCTCGATCCTGTCACGGCTCTCTGCCGCGACAGGGGAGGGGCTGGATTCCCCCCTCCCCGCTCCGATGCGCCAGCGCTGACTGGCGGAACGGACGGGTACAGCTGGCTATGCCTCTAGATAGGCAGAGCCAGCTGTCAGTCACGCAGCTGGGCGGATCCCGGCACAATTGTCGGGATCCGCTTAAGCTGAGGCGTCTCAGTATACCACAAGCTACAGCTCGCGGTATACTGAGCCTAGGGTGACGGGAGGACGCTAGTTTGTGTCCTCCCGTTACCCTAAGGAGAACTATGGGGAAAAGCCTTAACCCCATAGTTCTCCTTTAAAGCCTTTCTCCAAGGGCTATCCATACACTGCAATGGTTCATTGATCGTTTAGGTCGATTGGACCGGTGTAAAGCAGTTTTACTGACTGATCCCCGATCCAGCTGGCTCCAAGACCGGCACCCCCAGTTGCTTGACCCCCTGTGCTTCAGCAGGCAGAGGCTTGCTGACTTCATCACGTCTAATGCAGGGACCATAGCCTTGCATTATACAGTATGTGAGGATGCCGAGAAACAGTCCAGAAGCCGGAGCAGATGGTGGAAAGGCGAGTGCCAACTGTTAGGGAAGCAGGGATCAGTAAAACTGCTTTACACAATACCCCTAGACATAAACAAGGAGAGAATCTATGTAGGAGTAGCCCCACTGCAAGGGGAGATTTTTTGTTTCCCTAGAGATAGATTTTAAGCCAATGAGAGTTCCCTTCAGGCCTGGTTCACACCTGGGCGTTTTGTAGCGCGTGTGAACGCTCTGCAAAGCGCTCAAACACCGAAATCCCATTGTTTCCCATGGGTATGGTTCACACCTGGGCGTATTTCAGCCCGTCTGAACGCGCTACAAAAACGTCCTACGCCCAAAGAAGTACAGGAGCTTCTTTGGGGCGTTTTTGTCGCGCGTATCCATTGGGATACAGCTAGGTAGCCCTCGGAAACGCACGTTTGTCGCGCGTTTTTTTTTTTTACAGCAAAACGCGGTAAAAATGCGCGACATGAAACACGCATATTTGATACGCCTAGGTGTGAACCCAGCCTTAGTGGCCAACAACTACCTTTAATACAGTAACAAAACGGCAAAAAAGCAAGCATGCAAAAATGTTACATCGACAATTATTTTACTGTAAATGTTACAAACTAAAAATAGACTATGCTTCCCTTAAAAAGAGTCAGTCTCTGTGTTGCTCTGTTGGAGCCCTCATTAAATAACCAGTGCCTCAGTGTATGAAGCAACATGCATAGGGCTGCAACCAACTAATCGATTAATGGATAATAAAATCGATAATGAGAACAGTTGTTAACTATTCCCATTATGGATTCGTTGGTTGGATCTCCTAGCTCTCTCCTCCACGCTGGGAGGAGGGCACAGCAAGCAGTGGGCGGGTGCAATAGCCAGCCTGTTTTTGGCTATTGCCATTGGAAATGGCCAATAGCAGGCTGGCTATTGCACCAGCCCACGATCTGCTGTATTTACATTCAGCTGCCGTCTGCAGAATCTTGCCAGTGGCAGCTGTCATTATCTGGCTGAAGGTATTCAAGTGTCATCTGCTTACAATAGAATTGTAAAAAAAAAAAAAAATTTATAAAAAAGGTGGGAAAAAAGTAATTTTAGGTTTGGGCCTGACAAATTCTGCTGCAGGAAGTGCGTTGCAATGCTATTCATTTCAATAGCACCCCAAACGCACCTCCCACCTACAGCGCGATCGCCCGCACTGGAATGCACAATACCACAATGCCGTGCGTTCCAGTGCAGTGCGTGCAGTTTTATTCTGCAGTAAACGTTAGGTTTGCAACACTGTGTGTTTTAAATAAAAAATTGACTTAATTTCATTTTTTTCGATTAACCGATTACTTGAATAAATAAATAAATCGGCCAACTAATCGGTTATGAAAATACTCATTAGTTGCAGCCCTAAACATGGGTGATCTCCTTCCAGGATGCAGTTTTCTGGTCTCAGCAGCCAAATAATAGGCCTAAATCTGTCCCTTGACAAGAAGAAACCCCTGTGCAAGCCCTGACATGGTGCTTACACAGGGTAGGGCTCTCTTCTCCAATGGAGGCACGGAGCAATGACTGAGGACACAGAAGGAAAGTATAGGTGAAAGTACAGGTTCTCTTTAGGAGAACCTGTCACTTTGCCAAAATGAGTCCAATAAGCTACAACTTTACTAGTTTGTTAAGAAAAAACACTTTTAGTTAACTGCCACTACCAGGGAGTCGGCTCACAACATAAGAAATACATTTTTGTTCTGTAATATGTATTTGTTCCTAAAGGGCAGACATTGGGTATTATGTATCTTTTTGTATACTATTTAAGCAGAATACAGGCAAAGTATATACACAATGTAATAGACACGGAGCCTTCCACTGACACACCATTTCATGATGGTTATCTATGAGAAATTCCATTCACTGGTAAACCACAGGTCCCCAGGGACTACAACTGAGAGAAATGTGGCTTTCCACCTTCCACCCTTCAAAACGGAATCATACAAGAGCAGTTTGTACCACAATATTGGAGTTCTCCTTCTACGGTTTCACATTGAGGTGTTATACACATTCTCTGCTGTCCCCCTGTTCAGAGGGCACATTTATTACAGTCAGAAATCGCAATATTTAAGCATTTCGTGATAGCTCCCCTTTCCAGTTCTTTCAGGCCCATCTCAATACCATGTCATTCTACAGTACATTTTGTGGACTTTGTCCTACTGATAAACAGAACCTCACTCCTCTGTAACAAGGTACATTCAAAGAAAGGGCTTGGGTTCTCTGGACCTGGAGCTTATTTTCTAAGGGTCATTGATCATTTCACCACTTTTTTTTGCTGATTGTGTTGTCTTTTGCATTTTTCTGCTTTTCCCCCCCAACTTTAATGTTTTACTTAAAGCCGATTTTGTGAACCAAAGTGATTTTTAATATTTGCACAGTAAAAAAAAAAAAGGACCAATGATGAACTGTGCCCCATCTCTGGCTGCTGCAGCATTCTTTAATTAACCCAGGTATACATGGAATGGATTTAGACCGGTTTCTAATGAAGGGTCCCACCGTCGGCACCCTACCGCCCGGCATCCTCGGGTGAACGGAACTAGCAGCCAATCAACTACTCTGGTATCCTGGCAGTGGCCGGCAGCCACCGTCAGAATACAGTGAAGACAGTGGGAGATTCCTCGATCAACGTTCGTAAGCATTGATGGAAGAATCTGTTATATAAGCACGTATACCCTTAGTTCCATTCAGCCCACACTGTCCTCTCCGCACCAAACGTCCAGCGCTGAGGTATTAAAAGAGAACTATGGGATGCGTGAAATACACTCATACCTCATAATTAGAGCCAACATGTAACACAGAAGCTGTCACACGTCGGCTCTATTGATCGAGAACTGAGCAATCACAAACCGCTGATCATTTAGTTCCCGATCTTCTCCCTGCAGAGAGAGGTGACTGTCAGGGATTCCCCCCTTCCTTCCCCCAGTACTGACTGAAGGGATGGGTAGGGGTGGGGGCAGGCACACACATTCTCTAGAACAGGG